CGTCGCCGCGCCCGCCGCGGCCGCGCCCGCCCCGCCCGCGGCCACCCCGGCCGCCGCGATTCCCTCGGCCGCCACCGCCGCCCCCGGCGCCCTCCACCTCCCCTTCCTCCGCGCCTTCAGCGGAAGCCCCCACCGTCATGGAGAGACTCTCCCGGAGCTTGTCAAAATTCTCCGTCCTGCAATGCATGGGGTGTGCGGTGGAGGTGCGGAGCATCCGTAAAACAACCCTTGAGCTCCGGACGCAGCTATGCGGGGCGCCCTTTACGAGCGCTTACCAGCTCCGAGCCATAGCCAACCCACAAGCAGCACAAGCCACACAAGCACTCATATCGCACGCACACGCATACACACATCGCGCCATGGCAATGAAAACAAGGTCCACATGACTGGCCACACCCCACCGTAATTTCTAATTCACGCACCTGAAATTGCCCCGCTCGTCTAGCAGTAAGTACAGTCCTCTGCCGCCCGATGGGTATGCGTAGTGCTGCAGTTGCAGGAAATAAGAGGAAAAGAGGTAAAAGTCCGGGATGGAGTGAAACGCATGAAAGGCCCGTGGGGCGGGGAGGAAAGAGGGATCCGGGGGCTGTAGAACGAGGGGGTAGAACGGGGAGAGGCCACCGAATTGGCCCAGGGGACCCAAAGGTGGAAGGAACAACACGGCGCGCCGACCTGTTTTTATGGTTAGAACGTGGTACACGGAAAACAGCTTTGCAGTTACTCCTACACTACACCCACTGCGTTGCTTCTCCCTCATCTCTCCCCTCCTCCCTCCTCCACGCATCCCCCCATCCATCAACACACAAACACATACACATATACACACACACGCGTGCGCGTGTGGACACACAAACACGCACACACACACACCTGCAGCGGTGTTGGCCGGTAGTCTGTGTACACCACATGGCATGGTGACTTGTGCAGGTGGGCCACCCAGGCAGCGAACTGGGAGCTATTCGAAAGCGTGGCGGAAAGGAATACCTGATCAGGCGCGAATGATTGCGGGGAGCAAGAGGCGAGGCGTGGGAGAATGGAAGAGGAAATGCATAAAGCTGAATCAGCTGTATCGGTGGCCACATGAGTAGACCATAAGGCCTCAAGAGGGCCGCAAATGGTGCTCACTCGTACGAGAAGCATGGCCATATTTCGTACAGCAGGGTACGTACCATCTTGGTGCGGTGGTCCAGGAAGATGATGGTCTCTTCCCACACCACGCCGCGCTCCCGGTCCTGTCAGGCAGGTCCACAGGCATCGGGAACGGGCATATGGCACGAACAACCGGTGTGAGGACGGGGACGAGATCATGTGCGAGTTCCACTGCGAGGTCGCCGCAACGTCCAACTGCTAAAATCCGAACAAGCTGTAAGGAGTTGTGCAGGACGGTAGAAAGGCGAGAAGATGGGGACTGAGCGAGGGCGAAGTGGCGGCGGCGGCGGTAAGATGATGATGTTTTCCCCGCCTCCGTACTCGCTCAGCTCCCACCACCCCAAAGGTCCACCCGCCTGCGTGACTCTTTCTCTCTATTTTCTCTCTATTTTCTCTCTCTCTCTCTCTCTCTCTCTCTCTCTCACACACACACACACACACACACGCACACACACGCACACACCTTCCACACTCCTCCTCGCATATAATACTCTTTCTTTCTCACCTGCATGTAGTGGACCTCGTCGAACACCACCCAGGCCACCTCTCGGAGCAGCTCACTGCCCCTGTGGCCATTGTTAAGCACATGCACGGGGCAGCAAAGGACCATTGCAACAGGTATGCGCATACACGAGGGACAAGGACGCGTTTCGCGCGTTCCTTTACCTCACATGTTCGCAAAAGGCGCATGCAGGCACGGCAAGCAAGTGCGTGGAGGCGGTGCTTTGCACACGGGTTGCGTATTGCTGGCAAAGGGACGTTGGCTGATGGCACGTTGGGTCCTTCCAGCACCGCAACGGCAAGGCGTGGTAAAGTGGTTTCTAACCAGCCAGTCACCCACCCACCGGTAAATCATGGAGCGCAGGATCTCCGTGGTCATCACGATGCATGAGGCATTCGGGTTGAGGCTCACATCGCCCGTCATGAGACCCACATCGCCTGCAAACGCCTCCGACAGCTCTCTGAATTTCTGGTTGGACAGAGCCTAAGGGAAACAGTTGTAGCGCCAGTCGGCAGCGCGGTGGTGGCAACAACAGCACGCACAACAAATCAAGCATGGTCAATGGCCGCACCGGACATCGAGGATGATGCTGAGGAGGTGAACCGAATGACGGACCGATAAAACCAACATGAGTACCGGCAGGGATATGGCGAGAATGGGAGCTGCCTAGGGTCAGCACAGCAACGGTGGAAGAGCGGAAAAGGGCCTCAAACACCATGGCCAAGTAACAACCAGCCACAATCATGCCCTTGCCACGAGCGCCATGAAATGGACGTCTTCTCTGGTGCTGCAGCGGGTAGCAAGCTGTGTGCTGCAGGCATCGTGTCCTTTCGTGTCCACTGAGCTCATAGACGAGTTCGATGGCAGTCATGGGCTCTGCACTTCCAGGATAGTGGCACCTGCTTCAGTAGCCGGTGCCACTTGGTTCGGTTCCTGTTCTGCGTCCTGATTCCAATGCTTCCGGACCCTAACCACCGGACCTTAACCGCCGGACCCTAACCGCCGGACCCTAACCACCGGAACCCCAGTGGCAGCCACGTGCCTTCAGGGGCGACGTGTAGATCACCCTCTGGTTGCTCCGAAAGCCCATGGCAATGGCATACCTGCGAAAGCAAAGGCACGGTAAACAAGACGGGAGAGGCGGAGCAGGGGAGGTCATGGAGAGGTTTAAGGAGGTTGCTACAGTGCTAGCTGACCCTCTGGCCCGATTTCCAACAATCCTCACCCTCCTCCTGCCCCTGCCGTCATCACCTGGGCAGCATCTTAAGCGCCCTGATGCCGCTGCCCATGCGGATCGATCCTGTGTGCTCCCCGTTACATTCCTCAAAATACCCTCATTCCGACCAGACCAGAAGGCCCCAAAGCTCTCACACTCACTCAGCAACCACAGTCTTGCCCGCCGACGTATGCGCTGACACCAGGACCGACTCGTGTCGCTCCTGATGGGAGGGAGGCGGCAGCAGGGAATTAGCCGCTGGATTACCGATGAATGTGCATCCAAGAATGAGCCACACCGCGCGGCACGGAGGCCGGGAAGAGGCATAGAGGAAGGCGTGACTCAAATGCGGGTGCGCGGAAAACTGATGGGAGGCAGAGAGGTGCATGAGTAGGCGTGAAGCAAGGAAGGGAAGGGCCCCAACATGAGAGAAAGGAGTCCACTGCTGCCCGGTACTTGAAATCCTGCAGTCTACTCCAGCGCCTGATCACGTGCACCGGCTATGCGCTACGGGCCCAGTAAGGCATCGCGGCAAAGCCGTGTCGCAAGCAGCGAGGAGAAATGATACTTCACCCCTCCATCCCCGTGTGGCCCAGACTGAAAGAGCCACGGGCCGAGGACCATGTACCTGGTCCAACCAGCGCTTCCATACCAGAGCTTCTCGCAAGCGAGATCTTTCAAAGGATTGCAAGGAACTGGTTCCGTTGGGAGCGGCAGTCCGCATCCACCAACTACTTCCGTGCGATGGTTGAATGCTGGACGGGGATGTGGGTCTCGCGGAAAGGCGTTCACCGCTTACAGGTTCCTACCATCACCGTGAGCTGCACTGCCTCGCAGCATACTCGGAAGTGCTCGGTAACGCGATGGCTACTACGGGAAGGGACGCTCCCGTGCAGCCCTCTGGCCTCGCCCTTTAGGTACCGGGCCCCGCACCTGCAGAAAGCCCAGAGGCCCAAATTCCTAACCCCACGCACCAGGCATGCTATACTGGTCTCCTGAAATGGGTCCAGAACGAAGGGATACTCCTTGGCGCGGGAGCCTTTGTAAATGGGTTCATGGAGGGTGCCTGCGGGTCGCGCATAGAATCTGTTCAAGCGCAGATCAGCATCGGGGAAAAAGCATTACCGCGTGCCTATGTAACGTGGTTAACCCTGGAGAACCTCATGGACAAGGACACTAGAGAGGACGAAGTCCGGAATGCCGCTGATAGGCGCCGTGGTAAAGGTAGGCACGGATGCACAAGGGTATGAACGCGCGGCAGAGCTGGGAGGACAAAGGCGGGCTAGAGACGGTCTCACCATGGACCTCCGGGTCGTGTTTGAGGGTGGATTCGTCAAATCCTTCCGGCACAGCAACCTCATGCGTGCAAGTTGATGGCGGACGACCACCGATGGCCTGAAGGCGTTTGGCCGGCTGCTCGGACTGAGGGGAGACAGGGCCATCCCCAGCGCCGTCCTCCTTGGCATCCTGCTGCCGCTTCCGCGCAGCTTGACGCGTCGCCGCCGCAGCTGCCAGGCCTTCAGGAGATAATTCCATTACGTCCTGACGCTGCCTGGCTCCTTACTGCAGCAATCGTTTGCCAGGAACTTTCGGGTTGGCAAAAATGGGGAGAATGGTAGAGATGCCTAACATATTAGTTGCATAATAATGAATCGGAGTGGGCTGTATAAGCTGTTCTCCGTCTGCCCAATTCAGAAGAGGCAACCTTGAACTCTTCGGCGGCAAACCTAACCGCTCCCTATTTCCACAAAGTATGTCGGTAGCGACCTGTGTAGCTGTCAATTTCCCTGGAAGTCCGAGACCTCTTGAATGACGCTGGTCAACTCCGCCGTCGAGTCGTACATGTACCTGCTCAGCACGCAAAGCAGATGCCATGGCCGGATACAGCCAAGCCCTTTTGCGTCATATCTTTATCGCTCGTTGCACATGGCGCATTGCCACACCATTCGATCTGCGGTTTCATTTTCCAGCTGCTTTTCGAGCAACGCCAAGCACGGCACGCCGCTGGCACGCAAATCCATTGCTCGCCATGACCTTCGCAAGACCTGTGAGATGCATTATGATCCCAAGATATCAAGCGCATCCGGAATTGTTTATGTATGGTAGACCGCAGAATCCTTTCCACACGCGGGACTCCGGTTTGGTTACATACAGTTAATACTAGGGTCTGGCACTACTGGTAAGGCGCGACCATTGCCCCCGGGAGATCCCGGGATCGATACCCGTTAGGGTCAAAAGTCCTTCCGATGGTGGAAGGCATAGTGCCCCAAGTTGATGGACCGTGGTGACCTGGGATAAAGTAACCTGCGAGCTCGATCAGGAATGGAGTTGGGCCGCTGTCGACCCAGCAGATTCCATTGGATGCTGGTGGTGGGTGCGGAACCTGAGCGATCCACTGAGAAGTTCACTAGGGTGACTGGATGAGGGTGCCCCGAAATACCGGGGAAGGTAGGGTTTCGCAGGGTAGATGCCACGAGCGAAGATACACCCCCCTGTTTCACAAAACACCCCACGCGATGTACAGTCCAGGTCGCAAACGCACCGGGCGTGGGTCCAATACTTTACGCGAACGGAAGTACCTGATGGAAAGAGTACAGGAGATGCACAGTCGCAAGTAGAGTTGCCCAGATTATGGGGAAACTCACTACGAAACATGCCTGCCGCAAGTGGATCTGATCCCGAAATCCTCTATTCTATACATTTCTATTACACCGACCAACTCGACAGTTACATGCTCGGTTACATGCCTACTGCAAACGCCCATTCGCCGCCCTAACCATTGCTTATTGTGTGGCTCCGTGGGCATGCAGAATCATCCTGTTATCTGGATAAATTTTCACATCTGGCTACCCGAAAACGGAGATTTCACCAGTCCCAAACGCGTGCAAGTAGGGTGAGACAAGATTCAATTGCCATAAAATGCATTGATTCCATCGCCGATACCGAGCTCGTGAGTCAGTTTTCTGGACCACATCTCGAAACATGCAGCTCCAGTCCGAGTTTACGACTGGCCAGGCTTGCACACGGTCCGACCCATATCAGCCTGCCGCTGCCCCCTGCCAACAGAGAACATGTCACACTTGATGCCTCGTGTACCGTAAATCGTACTGCTTCCGAAACCCCCGGGTAAACCTACTAATGCACGCTTTATGACTTACGAATCCGATACTCAAGACGCAGCCAACCTCTCCGGCAAATTCCAGCACCTGCGCTTCCGGTCATCACCGCCGGCTGTGTCCTAACCCCCACTGTGCGGCGCCCCGCACCCTACCTCCACTGTTAAGCACCTCCGAAGTCCATTTTTCAATTCGTGAAGATGAGAAAATACCCCGAGAGCCGCGGATTCAAGAGCCAACGCAAAATGGCCATCTGGGTCACATATTTTACCATTCCGCGCTCTTGCAATGTCCCTCACAGGCCGCAGGCCTCCCCCAGCCGCGCGCCGCGCGTATCTTAAATCAGTCGGCTTTCACTCCATACGGAGTTCCACACCATGAACACCGGGCTGGGTCCAGCCCCGTTTCAAGCCAAGCACTTGTGCAGGCCTTACCAGGCTGACTTCCCCTTAGCCCAGCAGCGGGTCAAGGGTGGTGTCTTTGTAGATGACGTAGCGAGTGGGCGAGGCCCCCAGCGCGGCATACCATTGCGGCACGTAAGGCGCCATCCAAATCGCGTCACCCGCCTGAACCGGGTACCATTTGTCTGCCAGCCGGTAGATGCCTTTGCCCTCGAGAAGTAGAAGGCCGTGTTGGTTGTAGTGCACCTCCTTGACCCATAGGTACTCCCCAGGCTGGAAGTCCATGATGTGCACATTGAAATCGTAGTCGGCAGTCTGTGGGAGCAGCTTGCGCAGCTTGAAGACTTCGGGTCCTGTGGGCAACAGCGCCGACTCCTCCACGTCACCGCTGCTGAAGACGGGCTTGCCGCCGGCGGCGTATACACGCTCGTACACGAGCAGACCGGCGCCATCCTCCGAGTAAAGCGTGTCGGTGGAGTTGGGCGGGAAGTACACATAGCTGTTGGCGCCAAGGACCATGTTCTTAGCACCATGCGACACGGTGATCTCGCCCTGCAGGACGAGCACGAAGCGCTCCACGCCAGGCTTCGCGGGCTCAGCAGACGAGTCGTCGGACATTTCCGCAAGATACATGGCGAAGTTGGCACCGCGAGCTGGTGAGACCAAGTGGGCGGTCAGCGTAGATTTCCAGCCGCGCTGGCCTGCAAAGACCCGGCTTTCTACGGCGATGAGCGCATGGTCAGCGTAATGTGCGCTACGTGTGTATCCAGGAAGGCTGTCAAAGTCTATGCCACGCTCAGCTGGGCGAAATACAGCCGAGTAATCGTGACCGCCGCAAGATGGAGTAGGTGTGAGACCGCACAATTCGGCACCATGGGCGGCTGATGCCACAAGAACGGCAAGCGCCAGTTCCAGCAGCAAGTGCCCAGGTATTATCATCACGCCCGGATGCAATTGAGGGATCCAGGCACTAAGAACGTGTCAAGAAAAGTTGCGTCAGTGAAACCTGTATGGTTCACAAAAAACACCAATTAAGGTATGTCAATTATAGAATTGCTGAATTTATCCAATGACAGGTTCAGTTTTTGACTTGCATTGGTTGTATATAAAGGTGGAAAAACTTGGCATGCACCCTCGTGCGTGATCCCGTGACTAACGACCGCGATAATCAGTATACGAGTAAAGCAGGATCACCATTCAATGGCCCGTCCTTACACAAAATGGGTACATGACTGTTAAATCTCTAGGACCATTTGCGCCTAGCTTTCACCGGCTGAAGTGCATGATTTGGGGGGCAAAACTTCTCGGCCAGAACATTCCTCTGACTAGACCAGCCCTGTGACTGCTTAAAAAGCGCTGGATCAGCCCTGTGCATCCAAACGCGCCTGATTGCATGCTAAGTGGAACGCTTTTTTTGCTTTGGATTGTCTAGGTGAGTACTGGTACTTAGCGCGTGAACAGAAACACACATGCGGACGTGCACTGCAGAGCCCCTGACTACACTCCAGCACATGTAAGGCCTAGAAGATAAGGGGGGTCTCTCGGCACTGCTCATCCACGCATTCATTTAGCTTTGAAATCCCAACTTCTCTTCCGATTGGGGATGCCCCATGAGGCCGCAATCATGGGCAGGGAGGACAGGCCGTGTATTGCTCTCTATTGCTCTCGCCTGTGGCGAGGAAACCGACTATGATTTCACTCTACCGCGTGCTGTCGCAGAGGCCGCTCCAGTTCCATTGTGCCAATTTTGTCCCGAAACTAGAAATACTCCTGCCGTTGCGTGAAACAGGGGGTTATATTCTCACCCGTGGCAGCTACCTTGCGAAACCCTGCCTTCCCCGTCCATCAACTAGGGGCGCAATACCATCCACCATCGGAAGGATTATCGTCCCTGACAGGTCTCAATCCCGGGATCCCCCGGGGGCAATGGCCGCGCGTTATGTGTAGTGCCTAACCTAACCTAATATAGGTGCCGCACAGGCATCGGCAAACGCTTCGGGAGCTTCGGGTCGTGCCGAAACTCCCGAAAACAGAAATAGAGTTCCCGAAGCCGGCCGGCTTGCAGAAATAGGATCATACGCCGTATTCGAATGTCAAACTGTTGTAAAAAAACGCATTTTCATTCCGCGGCCTTGTAACAGAAATTGTACTGGAGGACAGAAATAGACCCGTTCCCGAAACCACAAATACCCCGTTTGCCGATGTCTGGTGCTGCAGCGTTTGCGTGCGTTTCTGGTTGGGCTGTTGGAAGTTAGACGTTAACCAGCCAAACGGGTGTGAGCCAGACATCGGCAAAAGGGGTATTTCTGGTTTCGGGAACGGGTCTATTTCTGTCTTCCGGTACAATTTCTGTTACAAGGCCGCGGAATGAAAATGCGTTTTTTGACGGCGTATGATCCTATTTCTGCAAGCCGGCTGGCTTCGGGAACTCTATTTCTGATTTCGGGCGTTTCGGCACGACCCGAAGCTCCCGAAACGTTTGCCGATGTTTGGTGTGAGCGCACCGCGCGCACCTTTCAGGCTTTGTGACTGTGGAGCGGTTGAAGACGAATTGCGTGTTTTCGCGGAATGCCCTGCTTACACGAGCACGCGGGCTAAGTATGACGGTGACCTCGTTTACAAGGGCGCAGCATTCGCACCATTATGACCGAGGCGCCGGATACCTCTCGAAATTCTGGGAGGTCAGGCAAGTTGCGTTAACGCGCCAAAGCGCTGAAGCGGATGAGGGAGGACGATAATGGTCCCCCCCTACCCGCATTAATTCTACCGTCCATGGCCCTGCCGGCTTTTACGGAACTTGTAACTTGTCTTAACTCGTTGATTTTTTCCTGGTTTATCCATCGATACTGTAAATCACACATGCGTTTGGTGGGCTTATTGGCTTTTCTGTGGAGGAAAAGGTATAGGCGTGTGTCGTGCGCGAGCTGTTCGCGCTCAACCCAACCAATACTCCTGTGCTTGAGCAGGCCTTAATTGCTCTTTGAAGCAGGCACGAAAGATGTGTAGAGTGAAGGCATGATTAATACTATGAAACGCCCCTTTGGAAAGGGGAATGTGTAACGCCGCTAAGGCGGCCCTTGGCTCACCGGGCCAACGGTATCGTACCAACGGTACATCCAAGAACTATTCATAATCTTCCAATACCAAACGGTATTTATCAATACCACCTTTTATCGTTGGATAATTTCCTTTTTCGCAACTGCTTGCCAACTGCAAGCTTTGTTACAATTTTGGTATCTTAGACCAACCGGTCAAACGACCTCGGAGTCAAGCACTCCATCGCTTCCGCAAACACATTCCAACTTAAGAAACATTTTCTATCTGACTTACATGGCGAGCCCAGGGAATACCATGCGCACCCAGTCGGCGAAGGCCGACCATGAGCGCTATCAGCTGCGCCAGGTGAGCCCCTCTAGGGCAAAGGAACTGGTACAAAAGGTCCAGGAAATGTATGAGAAGTACGTAAGGCGTGCCCAGCGTAAGGGCATAACACCGCCGTCGCGCATGTTTGACAAAGTCAGACAATTCTGCGACGAGCAAGGCTATCGCTCCGCACTAGGCTTCCTAATGGAAGCTAATGAGGAACTCTCCTATGTGCAGAAAAGCCGCGAACTGCGGGAGCGTTTTAGCCACTGCGGCGCATGACGCCGACAACAACGCCAATGGAGCGCACGACCCAACAGGTCCCGGACCCTCGCGCCCACGTACTGCGCAGCCAACTGCTGCCGCCGCGGAGCCGGCCAGGGTAACTGGGCCCACCGCCGCGCTCCAGCCGCAACGCGGCACACGGCAGGGTGAGTTGCGCAAAGAGTGTGAGCGTAACGACATCACTGCGGCTAACCTCGTCCCGCCTGAGGGAGGGTTGCCACCACTTCCCACCCACACCGCCCAATTGGCGCAATATCACCATGTCTATTGGTGCTTAGGTCCCCGCAACAAAATGTTGCACATATTATCACGCGAACTGACGCTATGGACCACACGGTACACCCAACAGGTGCAGCTTTGTTACAGAATGTCTGACAGGCTGACCTGATGTCTGCCAAGCCGTACTCCTATCTAGCCGTTCCGCGAAGCAAAGAGCATTGGCGTTCCAAGGTATAGGCGCTTAATTAACTAACCTGGAGTACTACTTGGAATGTCCATTCCTTCCGGACTTTCCGGACTCGCAGTTACGAACACTTGGTTACACCGGGACAGGCTATCTAGCAGCTATAAGCAAAAAATGAGCAGCACGATCAACCAGCAGTGAAACCACGGTCGTTGCGTTTCAAGATACGGGGTCTGGAGTGGGGCACGCCTGCATCCAGGCGTAGCTTCACTGACAACCTAAGGTCCAATCCTTGGGTGTGGACTGCAATATATTCACCTATGGTTTAAGGGGCACTTAGCTGCGGACATGGGAGACAGTGTTGAGTTCGCTGCTGTAAGGGGGCTAACTCCGTGCCACGCCTGGACGAAGCACAGCGTCCTCTATCCATTAACCTCGGCTATTGCACCGATTGTTATTGGCGCATTCCCGGTGGAGATACTGAAGCTCGCATTTGACAACTTGACTGTTGGTCGGCTTGCTGCTTTTGGGAAGGTAAGCCCCATACTTCTCGCAGGCCTTTCGGGAGCTTAAGTATTGGCTTTTGCGCATTCTATTTTTAGCTTTTGCGCACAACAGCCTTGATGTGAACGCTGCATGAGCCCGGGCGGCTTACTTTGCTTGCATCTGCGACGCAACCGTTCCGACGGTTCGTCGCTTCGTGGCGACTTCATCTGTCCAACCCCGGCAGACAGTTGTCGAAAATGGTTATTACCATTGATTTATGGGCAGTATTGCCAAGAGCCGCTTTGCTACTATTGCCTAGAGTATACTCAGAAGGCTTGCCAAGTGCTGCTTTGAAGCACGCAGTTCACACATATTCAATCCGACTGTGGCCATTGCATATCGCCCGGCACATGAACACCAGGCCCGCCGAACATCCACGCTGTCCGGTTGGCATCATCCTTCCCTCCCGTCCGAGCGTTTGCGTGTACCTGAACATCAATGTTGCCTAATCCAACCCCGTCGCGTCCAATCCCAGCAAATTTAGGCGTTCATGGTTTGCACTCAGATCTTCAAGGTCCTCTTGCCTTATTCCCACCCGCAGACGGCCTCAGAACTCGCGTCGGAGGCCGCCTTGGCCCTGCTCTTCATGTGTCTATCGGCTACTTGTCTGGTGGCAAGCAGCAAGCGCAACCCGATAGGCAGCCGACTGCTACAGCCTCGAAAAAAGCGCCAGGCTGTGAGCTCAAAGGCCCTGTTATGCATGCCAGCGAATGGAGACGTTGGTCCTGCGGCGCATTTGCCACCGCAAGGGCCTGCTGCGCACGCTGAACTCGCGTTGGAGGCTGTTAAGAGGAACTTAGAGGGTGAGGACGCCGTCATCCTACAGAGCAGGTTGCGTGAACCTGCCGTACGATTGCGAGCGGGCTGGTGCGCGGCATCAGCACTCCGTTGCAGAGCTAACGGCGGTGGTCGTGGTCACGGCCGTGCAGCCATCACCGCTGTCTCGGTCAGTACGCCATGCATAGAGGTTTGTAATGCCCATGGCAGCAGCGGCAGTGGGCTCCAGCTCCAGAAACACAGCGGCAGTGGGCCCCAGCTTAAGGGAAACGGTTGGTACGGGCAGCTCCAGAACTATAACCAAAACCATCGCTGCCATCTGGCGGCCGGGACAACTGGCAGCGGCGATGCCCAGGCCACCCGCTCGGCCTTGCGGCCGTACGTCCATCGTGCGGAATTATCTTCCACGCGAGTCAAGATCCACGGCGTCCAGCCTGAGTTGATAGCTGCCGGCTACCAGGAGCGCATTGCGGCGGTGGTGACGGCGGCGGGGCAGCAGCTGGAGGGCGTGTATGTACGACGGGGTTGCATCGAGGTAAGGGCTCAGGCCCGGGACTCGGGGCTGGGGTTTTAAGAAGGGGGGAGGGGGGAGAGTACGGAGGAGTACGTCCCGACGTCTGACAGAGGTGAATTAGCGCCTGTCTACTCTACACATTTGCGTGAACTCGGAGGAGAGCTCCGCTTGCGTCAACACGGCTGCCAGGCTGCAGTGCACAACTACAATTATGCATCTGAGCACCCCGCGTCCCCCCTGGCGCCCCGTCCGTCTGTCTGTCTGTGCGCTCCTGGTTTTGCAGCTCCTGGTGGATACGGTACACTTCATAGAGTACGACGGTCGGGTGCTGCCGGCGGCCCATGTTGAGATGTCGTCTCCCCCGGCAAAGGCACCACGCCGTAGTGTAGGGCACCTTAACGTGGATGAGCTCGTGCAGTCCCTGCAACTCCCCCTCGAGCCACTGTCCAGTCCCCGGCGACACTCGGCTGTGGTGTGGGAATATTTGCGACCTGCCGCCGCGGAGGCTTCAGTGCCTCTGGGCAGCGGCGAGCATGGCGCCAGCGACATCGATGGCAGCAGCCACACAGCTGGCTTGCGGCAGCGGCAAATAGCATTAGCGACAACTGCTAGGGGCGATCGGCCTGGTGATCTGGCATTTTGCCCGGAATTAGCAGTATGGCCAAGGGTCGTGTGCACGGCTCCGGGGCCCCGTGGGATGGCGACCACGGCAGTGGTTGGGCCTGCAAGAAGGCCGCCCCTGACGGCGGCAGAGGCATGCACGTTGCGATGCGACGTGGCTGCATCCAGCGCTTACACCGTGGCACCGTGCGCCGCTAATGTTGCGGATGGGATCACAGCATCAGCAGCACTTCACTCAGATGCGGCCACAGCAGCGGAACCAGCGCCGGATCCTCATCGTACGGCAGCCCTCGCAGTGAGGATTTGGTGGCCATTGCCTCTGGGCTCCAGGAAGGATGATGAGCCGCCGGAGGTCGTGGTTTCGGCGCGTATTGGCGGTGCGTCTCTGCCAGTGATCTGGGAGTTGGGGAGCTGCCAGATATTGGGAGTAGCGGCGCCGGCTGCTGCGGCTGCTGCAGGGGCAATGACCCACATCCTCGATGGCGACTTCGTTGCTGCGGCGGCGCCGTCGACAGCTGTAGCAGTGCTCCCGTCGCCGCCGGGAGGCTACGATGGGCGAAACGTTGCTTCCCGGCTGGCAGGGGCAACCCTTCAGTCAATCCGTGGCCACGACAACGCTGGTGGCTGTGTGGGCAGCCGCGGCGGGGGGGTTGAGGAGTCGGTCGTTGGGATTGGCTCCAATGACCCCAGCAGCGGTGCAAGTGATGGTAACGTTGACTGTGCCGGCGACGGAGAGCGAGCTGCTGCCGCGCAGGGGACGGGGGGCGAGTGCGGCAGCAGCGGCGCGACGCTGCCGGTCTGTGCCGCGGGGGGCTTTCTGATCACAGGGACTTGCCGTATCCAGGACTTGCCGCCAGGCCCGGGCCTGCTATTGCTGCAGGCGCACCTCCCAGAGGAGGAGGAGGAGGAGGAGGAGGAGGAGGGGGGCCCCGGGTGTTTTACACGCCCGGTGCCAGTGCTGTGTGTGGATGATCCACTGGTCGCGGCGGAGATTTTCCACGCTTGCAGCGGTGCCGTGGGTGACGGCGACGGCAGCGGTACCGCTGCTGCGACCGCCGGCGTGGACGACGAGCAGGCGGCAGGTGAGGTCGAAGAATTTGTGGTCGACTTGGGTTTCTTCCTGGGCGGCATGGCACGGAGCGCTGCCGCCGCCGCCGCCGCAGCCGCAGCCCCTGGAACCGGCGCTGGCGGCGGCGGCGATCTCACAGCACTTGAGGGGCTCGGGCGACACTTGTACGACTCACTCAGTCAGACACCGGATGGGGACCTGCTATGGCCTGCCACGCGGGCTCGGCTGCGCAGGGAACTGGACACGATTGCGTCTTGGCTCCGGAACCAGCCGCCAGAGGATCAAATGCCAGTTGTCGCCAGCCATTCGGCCGATTTCGAACCAGCCGGCATCAAACCTTGTGCTGAAGACCTCAAGTTGTATGGCTCCGACCTAGAGAACCGCAATTACGATTACGAAGGTCATCACGGCAGTGGGCGCGGCGATGCTAGTGATGGGAAAAACGTCAGCAGGAGCCCGGGCGGTAGTGGAGATCGGGACCCTGGTGGCTGCGGTGGTGACGGCAATGGTGCTGTTAGGGGCCAGGAGCGTAAACTGCTGGGTTGGGTCGTCGTGTCCCATGGTTCAGCTGCTGTAGTGAGCTCGGCCGCAGTGGCACCGGCGGCTGGTGCGGGTCGTGTCGACACTAGCAGCAGTAGAGCCACCAGTGCGGCTTGTCCGGTCCCGACTCGTTTGGGTCCGTCGGCGGCGGCGGCGGCAGTAGCGGTAGACGCCGTAGAGGAGGCTACCCCGGCAGGCTGTGCTGGCGGTGAAGCGGGGACGGTAATGCGGCGGCGGCGGCAGTGGCGGCAAGGGCAGCGGTGGTGTGAATCTCAAGCGGCAGTGGCGGCGACTGGCGCCTGGGCATGCGTGAACGACATGTACGGCACTCTTAAGGATCCCGGCTACCAGGATTTCCTGACGGAGTACTGCGCCATGCAGGCACCCGTATTGTGAGTCAAGGCGGTGTGAGTGTGCTGGACAACGGTGTGGGTACGGGAAACGGGCCGTTAGGAAGCATGGCTTAGGGGTTCCTAGCGATCTCGTCAACTTTTTCAGGTCTCGCATGAATTTCACCGCTCCGCTGGCGAGGAAAATCTTGAGCAGGTTGACCGGCGTTTGTTGAGCACCGGTCAAAGAAGATTGGCTTTTCTTCACCAGCAGTGGGATGCGCTCTTTGCGCTGTAAACTTTAAACTAACACACCCGCCCATTTCAGGCACTCGTACTGCGATGCGGCTTCAACACACGGTACCTGACGGCCATTTGTAGCACACAGCGTGTCACGAGCACATGCGCTCGAAACTGCTCCTCCGCATTGTGCCCTGTTTGTGTGGCCGTATGACCTTGTCCTGCTATCCGGGTCATCCTGGACGCGCCATCCTGGTGCACATGCCACCGCACTCCTCACTGCCGCCCAAACATCCCTCAGCCGCGCACCGCACGCCCAATTTCCGCGCACACACGCGTCCCCCTCCTCGCCGCCGTCGCCTCAACCGCAGGGACGTCATGTTCTTCCTATCCGTAGGTGGCATTGTGTTGCGGACCTGGCAGGAGGAGCCGCGGTGGCGGCAGCGGCCCCTGCCGGCCTTCCTTTCCCACGTGGCGCCGTGCCTCGTGACCCTGGCCACCAGTGCGCTGTCCACCCTGACACGGCCGCTGCTGCGGCGCCCCGCCTGGTCGCGGCTGGTGCGCCATTGCATGATTCCGCGGTACCTGTCCTTCTGCCTCGGGCTGGCGCTGGTGGCGGCGGGCTGGCCGCCACCGCCCGCCATCGTGGCCTACCACCAGCGGTGCGCGTCGGTGGTGATGGGCGAGGGCGTGGTGCTGTCGGCAACAGTGGTGGTAAGTCTTAGAGAGGTAGAGGCCTATTGTTCAGCTCTTCTGGATGTGTATTGCCGTCTCCATGCGTGGAAAACGATAACCGTGACGAGTACGGAAGAAATCAGTAAACTTTGTGCTGGTGTCTTTGATTACCGTCGGAGTATGGGCGGTAAACCCAAACATGCACAGACTCGCCTTTTCTTTCTCACGTCGTACCACAAAGCTAAGCTACGATGTCCAAGTCCATAATTTCACGCGACCGCCACCTGGGAACTGCTGTTCTTGCCGCCGCGCAGATCATGCCTTGGCCCTCTCTACTCCTCGCCGCTTTGCGTGTCCCTGCTCACGTGGGCGTGTGGGTGCGCGTCGGCGCGTACAAAACCGCCATGGACGCAGTACTGCCCGCGGTCTTACTTGCGTGCTGCTCGATTGTTACAAACTTGCTGCTTCACGCGGTCCTGGTGGTGCAGTACCGCCGCCGCGTCCGTGCACGCAGCCAGGTTCGGAGCAAGGCTGATTAAGTTTAAGTTACACACAGCTAAGGGGAGTCATGGGGGTCCTAGGTGTAAGTGGCTAGCGGGAACAGCTGGGTTGCTATTTCCTTCTCCCCCAACTTCGGTCCAGCTGTGTGATGAGAGAGGAGGGAGCGAGGAGAAGCGGGTCCTGGGTATTCGAGTGCACATTATGCAGGTGTAGTGAAGGTGTTGGTGTTGGTGAAGCTCTCGCCCCGGAGCTCATGTGGGGACACTGGAGGAGAGGAGGGTTGTGAGCTCCCCAGTGGAGCTGGGGGCCGGGGGAGCTGGGGGCCGGGGGAGCTGGGGGCCGGGGGAGCTGCAGCCGTGTGCTGAGACTTGACTGTGTATGTCTCTGGGAAAGGCGTCCTAAGCCAAGGCGCAGCGTTCACAGCACCGCGTGCTTGTCTGGCGTGCGTGTGTGTGTGTGGGTGTGTGGGTAGTGCCTTGGCTGTCCTTGGTGGCCCAAAAACCCAATACGACGCGCCCATGCGAACTCCTCACGTGGCGTAATATGCATGCCTGAATACATGTTATACAATATTATGCATGTATGTGGGGGGTTCCGTTTCTCAAGCATGTGCATGTGATGTGTGTGTGCGCTTCGTAGACACATGCGTGCATTTGTCGTGGGACAGCTGAGGCCCACCTATTTGTATGTATGTGTGGCTGCTGGTTCTCGGGGTTGAATATCCCTCGGGGGCCTTGCGCTCCATTCGTCGACTGCATTCCCGGTTGAACAGGGTCACATGTGGCGTGCCTTGGTGCTGGTGATGATGTTGGTGTTGGTGGTTGGTCGCGTTATTGGCTCGTTAGGTCAATCCAGACGCACACGCTGGGACAATCAATTGCTTTTATGTGAACCCGACGACGATGTAGGTAGAAGGAACGGCTTCGACATATCCACGGGGCCTCTTGGGGGGTTGGGCGCTCGTCAGTGACCTGTACCTAGAGCTACACAGTCGTATGACGGCTTGCACGGTGCACGTCGAGTCGGTATAACTCATAACATTGCATGGCCTAACGTAACTTATAACACACAACACATCACAGCATGGCATCGGCATCTTTGCATGGTAGATCGGTGCATCCTGCATCGCGCATCGCATACAAACGTACGTACATACATATTTACATACATAGTCGAGTGTGTGCCCACCGTGTGCGCCCGCGGCTTTTCTTAAGTTCCCTCTGCCGCTTCGGTTTTTACGGCTGTTCAGAAAGGCACGTGTGCGTAGCTTATATCAAAGATACTTTTGTCTGGGGGATCTGGCAGCTGGGTTTGGGAAGTTGCCGCTGGCCATCTAATGGTCGTGGCTGTAACACGAGAATACGTGCTTGAGAAAAACCATAAGAAAAAAATTCGAACGCGCTTTCTTGCGGTAACGAGGTGTCCTACGTGGAGTTGTGGGTGGTGAGGATTACTCCGGCTGGGGGTTTAAGGGAGGGGCGACCCACTGCGCCATCCTTAGCCGCGCCCGGCGGCAATCTTACCTGGCTTCATCACCTACAGGGCATGGCTGCGTTGGCTTGGCTCATGGTCCCAGCGTTGACCAGGCGCCCGCCTCCGATCGTTCATTACCTGCACGACCGTGCCTGCACGATCGTCTGCTCTTCGTGGATAAGCAGGGTTGTGTGCGGCATTCGTCGGGGTCGGGACAGCTTATAGTCATGCCCCTTGCTTATCGCATCATATTCTTCATAAGCCATATTGTGTCGCATGTTCGCATCGCCTTCTGTAGCCGCTGTGAACGGCCTTGGGGCTGTTATTTGTAGGGATGTACGACTGCTGCGTCCGCTGTATCTTTCCCTAAGCCGTGGGGCTGGTGCCATCCGTTTGTTATTTTTTCTACTGGTAATGGCGATTGGTAAGGGCGACTGGCTGCCCTTGTTTGCCGAGGACGGGGCTGCGTTCTTGAAAATGTCGTTGTGCCCGTGTTACATGTACCTGGCAGGGTCGGCCCTCTCAGGACCTTTCTCGATGAGTGGGGCAGCGTGGCGGTTGTGGTGGTTGTAGTTATGGGGGCATTGGCAGCGGCAGCGGCGGCGGCTGCGGCAACTTTCAGGAAGGCGAGAGGGGACCTAATCTCGGTCATTGGGTGTTTCATTTTGCTTCTTTAAGCCGGCCTAACAGCTCTACGGGAAGTGTGGTTGGCTCAAGGTCACCCCTTCAGGGCCCGGAACGATCCCAAATTTTTGAAACGATGTGTGAACTATTTGGCTATTCATTGGATGCGTCTTCCACATGTATCGCCACCATCCCGACTGCGCCAGGAGCGTGCATGCATATCGACGCTTTACAATTTTTGAAATGTCGCGCCCGCTTGAGTTATAGCTGTCGGTTTCGTGGGCGACGCGAGGGAGGAGAAGGAGATTTGCGTGTTGTGCGTGAGGGTAAGGTGCAAACCAGTGGCACTGAGTTTCAAAGGTGCAGGGCTGGGCTGGATTGGTGCTGGATTGGAGTATGTTCGTGGTCAGCTACCTGCGGCGATTCGGTGGTTCTATGGTGGGTGCGTCCTAGTAGGAGGAAACGTCGCCATCATCAAAGTGCGCGCGCACATATGTGCTTGTGGGTGTAGGTGTTTTAGCCTTTGGGCACGAGGACGAGTGAGACACAGGAGCACTCCTCTCACTGGTTCGCTCGGCAGTCCGTTGCTCGGCTTCAGCGCGCGCGAGCGGATCAACATCTACCCTTTACTACAGGAGCAGCTGTACCGAGGTGGAACGCAGGTCACGCAGATCCTTCTTTTCACAAACGGGGAGTATCTTTCGTGCGAGCAGGAGTATATGCGCGCTTTTTGCAGTGAAACCTAGCCAGGCACTTGCGCGTGTGTGCATCTTCTCGGCGCTGCAATTGAAGGCACTTTTGCATGCGGCAGGGAACCGTTGAATGATTCGCCACGTGCTCCTCGATGTCGAATGATTGTTTGTTCTTTCGCCGCGTCCGACGCACATGAAGAGGGCCAAGATGCGCGGGTTGATGGGGGGGTTGTAGCGGACTGGTGGCCTGTGCCGTGCAGCGCTGACTGACGCGGTGCCGGGGGATGTGACGACACGATAAGGAATCCAGCTAAAATGTGGCCCAACGGTTCCTGCGGCTGCCCTGCTCCAACGACTTATCCAGCTTTACTGTGGCAAGGCAACGTGCTGTAGCTGCCTGCCGTTTCGTGGTCTCTTAAGGTTGCCGCTGTCGAAGTCTAGCGGGCTGTTATCGCACCGGTGCTTCGCCCCGCGTGATGATCTGACCTATTGAATGTAGAGACTTAATGGGAGGTCTGGAGCTCCCAGGGCGGCTTAGAGAGGTGGAGCCGCGCCAGGCCGGTTGGAAATCCTAAGCAGGCCCTGCTCGAGACGCAGCCTCGCCTGATACTGTAACAAACAAATTCTTTAGTTGTTATCTGCTTTTTTTAGTTTGCTTTTTAGATGTTGATATGTAATCTTTCCTCGGCCCATATTGTCTACTTTAAACAACATTGAAATGTATGAAAGGATACGGGAGCATTTCAACAACGTGAGACTTGTGTGTTCTCCTGTCCCGAGGCCTACACACAACATCCGGATGTATCTTCTGTCCATCTCTTGGGTAGATCTGGCGCCAAGGATGCCCCGCTGTTATCCACGGCGCCGACGCCAGTGAAACCCGCGTAACCCCACATTGCTGGACTCTCGACCTTCCGTTGGCTGTTGTAGAAGCCATTGTGTTCATCAAAAAAGGAGCGAGATCTATCCACACATGTTTCCAGCATTCCCCACGGGCGAATGCGCAAATTATCCCGTCTTTGGGGGAAGCCAGTGCAGAACATATGTGGCGTAGGGTTTGCAGCGAGCGAAGAACTGAGGACTTAGGATACAAGGGGTTCGCTGGAATTCCTAAGATGTCAACGGGACGGGTAATGTGAGACTGGGTGTATAAGGCTCCACAGGCATCAGAGAACCGACCAGACAGGAAAATGTACGACCTAACAAACGGAAAAAACAGGATTCCATTTAAGTTTCGGAATGAGGCATAAATACCATCATGAATTAATAATAATTGATGGTAACTTCGGCTTGCACGCATGCCTCGGCAACGGCAACGCATCGTCTTTTGCGATTGTTTCGACTGCCGCGATAGGCCAGAAGTTTCCTTATCGCAAGGACAGCTCGATGCAGCCACCGCGGTAGCGAGACAGGAGCCGCCTCCGAAGGCGCTTCTCATATATGCAACCGGCTTCGTGGTCGCTGCCGATGGTATCACAAATCTGGAGTCTTGCACGCTCCCCCACTGTAATCTCGTCGTTCGAGAAGGCAATCTAGGACTTTTGGCTGTTCGGCCTGCACGTGACGGGACTGGTGAGGGTCCCTTCCTAAAACTTATCCAGCAACGTGCCGCGGCATGCATGAAACGTTCACCTGACCTCCCTCTTCGCCACTGTCCTTCCTTCCCTGCTTGAACCTGACCGCCAGAGCTGGGTTCAGGGCCGGCAATATCCGAGCTTGCCCAGCTCCTGGGTGTGTACCAGGTCCGTACGGTTGTTGTGCGCAGCTTCGGCTTATTATACGGCGACTGTATGCCAGCCATTGTTGCTCCGGCTCACAGCTCGCCATTTTTGGCTTATACAGGCCAAAATGCACCCCGGAAATGCGCTTTGAGCCGCGTACCTACAGCTGTATACCTCAATCCCTCACCCCCACTTTTATCCATCGGGGATATCTCCAGGTATAAGTAGAGCTTCTTAGCTCTCTCCCTCTTGCCCTCATCCTTGGCCTCATCCTCGCAACCCTGACCCCTAACCCCATCTACTCTCAACCGGCCCACAGGAATGCGGGTCCTCGCGCCAGGAGGGTGATGCCAGGCTACCCAGTTTGGCAGCCAGGTAGGATGGGAGCATTGGGAAATGCAACTGCGCGACCACCAGCGACGTCACACCAACACCACTAACCCCACCATCACCATCACCGCCAACACAATCATGGCCATTGCCATCGTTGCCAAGCGCCATCACTGTGAACACGACTGACGCCGTAGTGGCAGCTGCCGCGGCAAGCGCGTCAACTCGTCCCAGGGCTGCAACAGCCGAGCCATGTGTAACTGCGTAGCCGGCACACGGACAGTCATACCCATTGCTCCTCGCCGCACAGCGCCGTACACACCTCCATGCATGTTACCGCAGGTTCAAGGGCATGCAGGCTGCTCTAGTCTCCACAAGTGGCCCAGTCCGCCAACTAGCGGAGCGCCTGGGCATGGCAGTGGTAGGCCAGCTGAGCCTGGATGGTTCCGAGGCAGACCGAGGGGACCCATGGGTCGGGAACGGCGCCGCCGCCGCCGTGCCAGCGGCAACGCCGCCGCTGGATACAGGCACTGCCCGCGCGGGCACCACCACGGCCGCACACGCAGCTGCAGCTGGTGCAGCAGGAGCAGCGGGATCGTCAGGAGCAGCAGCTGACGGAAGGCGGGTTGTGCTGGGGCTGCCTGATGCGGGGAGCTTTGCGGCGGTGGTATCAGCTGAGCTGGGTGCGTGTGTGGCCCGGGGGAAGGGAGGAGGAGGGATGAGCCCCAGGCAAAGGGTTGCGCGGGCACATGCACCGGAATGATAAGGCCTTCCTTTGGGCGATTCGTGAGCACACACACACACACACACACACACACACACACACACACACACACACACACACACAGACACAGACACACGCTCACAGCTCAGGCCATATCATGCACACGCTTGCATTCGCGCGCGGAGAAGTACACCCCATATCCTCACGACCTCACGGGTCACCCCAGTTCTCCAAACCTCATCATCATCTCACGGCTATGTTCCGCCCATCGACCTCTCAATCTTTCGTGTTTAGCTCCTTACCGTGGCCCGGTGTCTTTCATTCCTCTACCACTCCCGGC